TACTAAACTTGAAGGTGATCAGATTGGCTGGCTCAGTGGAGCTTTCTCTCCATTTGAGCAGGCTATTTGAGGATAATGCTGAACTGAAGAATGTTCTGAATAGGGCTTATTAGAGGACAGCACTTGTAGGAATGTGAAAATGTCAACCCTTTTAACCTTTCAGTGGAAATATTTTGGAAGAAAATGTATACGTACATTATTTTCATTGTGCTATTAACAATTCTAAAGTCTTATGTAGTAACATAATGTAATGTAAATTGGTTTTCTCACAAAATATTTAGAATTAATTTTTTTGATGTCTAAGTATTTCTAATGCAGATAAAGAATTAAGTGCATACTAATGCAAGTCTTCTGGTTGGTAGGATGCTTAACATTCATTTAGTCAACTTTCCAGCCATTACTCACACATAACCTTACAAGAGTTTAGAGCTGGCAGGGAGCTTGGAGCTCATCTGGATCATTCCTTGTATTTCAGAGGTGAGAAAGCTGGCCTCGAGGCTGCAGCTTCCCCAAGGTCATGGCCGGGGATCCCGGCTCTTGCTTCCCTCTCCTGTATGTCACACTGTGCTCCCTTGTTAGGGTCCAAGGCCAACGAGCTCAGCAGCCACCTGACTCCCCGGCCCAGTGTCCACTCAGGCCCACATGACCAACTGTGGAATATTGTATCTTCTGGATTAATTAGACGTTACAGGACAGAACAGTGATGAAAGGTTCATTTTCAAAGGGAAAAGGGATCAAATCTCCCCCAAACTCACTGTACACAACTTTCCCCCCATAAAACTTTATTTCAAGTTCACAAAATAACGAGGAGCCAATGCTCAAAGCTCTTTAGATACCTTGTTGTTCTTTTCTGTGCTCAGTCTTTAGTGGAAGTGGGCAGTAAGATGGTAATTTCTGTTCTGTGGTAGTGAGATTGAAACTGTCTGCTTTGTAACCTACAGTAAGAAATACATTTACAACAGTACATGTGTGTGCTGCATAGCCAAAATAAAAATTTATGAAACGGTGCTTGACCTTGTAGTTATTGTCTGATACCCTCTGATTTTTCTTCTTCTGTTCTATGAAAATTTTTCATCAGGATCTATTACATTTATTTAATTACCTGCAGATGGCTTGTTACTCTCATTTCAAAAGAATGGCTCTACAAAAAAAAGAGATGGTATTGTACTTTGTCCCTTGTCTCTGGAGATTAAGTCAGGAGAGCAGTCACAGTACTTATCCACTAAATGATCAAAGGCATTTTGAAGACAGTAGACAAGGCTAGAATCCGAGTATTTCGTCTTTGAAAATAGTATTACTTCCTGGAGACAAGAGTAAGTCTTGTCTTGGTTGCTTATCCATTAAACACAAGGATTGTAAAAATAAGTTTAAAATTTAGGATTAATTTTAGAGTAAAATTGTGGTTGGAGTATCGGTACCTTAGGTAACTTATTTATTTTTCTCTAAATCACTGATACAAATTTAAAATTTTTTTCCATAGAGCAGTCCCAAAAAGAAAAAGGAACTCATTCCTCCCTGGTGTGTGTGTGTGTGTGTGTGTGTGTGTGTGTGTGTGTGTGTGTGAGAGAGAGAGAGAGAGAGAGAGAGAGAGAGAGAGAGAGAGATTAACTGGTTTTGACTGGTGGTGGGATTTTTGTTGCTTTCTGTATACTGTTCTGTTTCCCAACTCACTTACCTGAAGAAATAGGACCTTCAGAAGTAAATTGGGGAGAAATACTTCTGGAAACAATCAGAAACATTTGTCATGAAGCTTCAACCCCAAACTGAGGTTTTAAAAAGAATCTCTTTTTACTTGGCTCTTTGAATATTTAGGTGTTCTTTAGCAGAAAACCAAGGACCACATGTGTATTGAGGAACGATTACTAAAAAGGGAGAATCATTAGCCTGACTGAGTAAAATGTAAAAACTCAGCCTTATTTGTACTGACTAGGCGTTGGTAGTGGCTCACTGCTTCATCCCACATACCCATTCAGCCTCCTGTACTATGTATTCATTTTCTTTGCAGACTCTCTCATATGAAATGCATACCATGTGTCAGGCAGTGCTAAGCCAAGACCATGGGGCTCCAGTGGTGGGTGAAATAGACATGGGCTCTGCCTATCCACCAGGCCCCTCTAAGAGCCTTGATTAGGCCCAGAGTTTTCTGAGTTGATCTCCATACCCTCAGATTTAGCTAGAATTAGGGGGAGGGGGTGTGCGTGTTTCCGTTAAAGTCACATTTGTGAAGAGACCACACTGCATTCCTACACAAACTTGCCGCTAACAGTGGCCAGCTTTGCGGCTGCTTTAAGCTTGAGACCCGCTGAACCCCTTGCCTGTTAGAACTTAGGAGTCTCCATCCACACTGAGCGTCCTCCCAGGGCCGAGCTTCTTGCCTGTGTGGATTGGTCCCAGGATGTTAACTGCCCTTACTTCTCTTTCCTATTAGAGTCATTCCACATGACACTTATATTGTAAATATTTTCATGCTCCTCAGGCAGGTGATAATTTTTATTATATATAAGCGTAATGTAAAATTCCTACTTTGAGGGAATTTATAACCTAATTCAGGAGAAGAGAGAAGGTGATGGAGACTTCCTAATTCATGGTCTGGAGCAGAGATGGTGATAAATGTACATCTGCCATCTGTCTGTGTTGCCATCATTTACATGGTATAACCTGCTTTAAAATATGTGTTGTTGTTTTTTTAGAGAGAGAAAGGGAGAGGGAGATAGAAACATCAATGATAAGAAGTAATCATTGATCAACTGCCTCCTGCATGCCCCATACTGGGGGTCAAGCCTGCAACCTGGGCTTGTGCCCTGACCCGGAAACGAACCGGCGACGTCTGGGTTCCTGGGTCCACACTCAGCCACTGAGCCACATCAGCCAGATAGCATAACATGTTTTATATAGTGGCTGCAGTGAACTTGTGAAATAGATGTGCATTTTTCAGAGGAAGAAAATGAGTCGTTAAGAGATGTATTAGTTCAGAGTATCTGGAGCCAGGACTCGTTTGTGTTTGTTATACTTCAGTCAGGTTCTTTACTCTGTATGCTCTCTCCTTAGGCATAAATGTGAAAAGAAGTGGTGACGGACTTAAATCATACTTTAGGCTGAGGTGGGCATGATATATTATCTGAACAAATTGTGAGCATTTGCCATGTTAGTAAAAATATTAAACATTTTTTCAAATGAGTCCATCGTATTTCATTTTATGGTTATACTATGAACCATTTAAGTCATTACCAGTTTCTTGCTATCCTAGATAGCACTGCAGTGAACCTCTGGGTACACAACTCCCTCTGTTCTTCTGGCCACTCCTGTAAAATCATTTCCTGAGCATAGAGTTCGGAAGGAGTTTGTTTAAACACTTCGAAGAATTTTAAATCTGGACTTGCCTTGGGGCTATGGTTTAATTCATCCACTTCTAACCATGAGGTGGTTATGTGGTCCAGTCTCATCTCTAAGGAACTTAAGACTTAGATAAGATTCATATAGCATATTAAGCTGATATCATTGAATTTTACCTATTAAACATTTCCTCCTGGAAAGATTGTACAAATGTATAGGCCACAGATAGTGCTTACCTTACTAAATACTCTTTTTCCAGCTTTGAGTGTTACATAAAGTCTTTGCTAATTTTGTAGGCCAGAAAGGGTTATGTTGTTTTAATTTGAATGTCTGGTTACAAGCATAGGTGGGGACTGTGTTCATGGATAACTGTCATAGCTAACATCTGCTGAAGCTATAAAAGAGCATATCGTATGGATTTTATGTATTTATACATCACTGTAAATCTTGTTCTGGTAGCCATGCATATAGTAGGCAGTAAGTAAGTATCTATTGATGGAATTAATAGGAGTCGAGCCAATGAACCATCACTGACATGACTGTAATAATTTCACTGGTTCTTGGCACCTCTTCCTTTGTGTTCTCTGCTTCTGTTTTCTCAGAATTACTGAACTAATGAGAGACAAAAGAGTGCCCTTTCTTTAAGGCTTTTTATACAAGATTTCTACTCCTTTTTGCAGTACTGGGGGCTGCATCGTACATACCTGATAAGAGCTTTCCTGCTGGAGCTGGTGTTTGAAGGAGAGTTCATAAAGAACCTGCTTTAAGATCCCTGTTTCAAACCCTTATTTTAATAGAAATAGGATTGCCTTCCTTTTCAGGACTTTTTGTTTGCTAATGCTTTTTTCCTATTAATTTTTTTAGAATTTGAATAGTAGGTGATTAAAAAGAATTACTTTGGTTATTCATAATTTATTATTCACAATTTATTATTTCAGAGGTGAGATAGCCATTCTTATTATTACGGTGCTAAAAGCTTGTTTACTAACCTTAAAGAATATAAATATTTGAATCCTGCACTAACAAAAACGTTGCATCTCTAGGATATCAGAAAGTACTCTCACTAGTCCTAGCCAAGCCAGAAAAATTTAGTGGCATTTTGTTTGTGTTAATGATTTATTTTCCTCCTCAGCAGTAGAGATTAGAGTAGAACTATGTGTAATTTTTCTGACAAGCACATGAGGAACTGCCAAAAATGTTATTTATTTGGTCTTCTGGTACCTTCTATAGTTGAGAAGTATGTCATTTTTTTTTATATATTTGGATATTTAAGTGGCATCATCTTTATCTGTTAAATCCTAAGTTTTAGATCTTTTCTATTCTTCCTTAAAAATTTGGTTCACAAAGAATTTTTGTGATCTTATGTAAATTAGAAACTGGGACCCAGGGAGGTTAAATTGCTACACAATAAATAGGTTGGATTCGACTATCTGTAAATATTTCAGCCTTTAAAATGAGATGATGTTTACCTTTTTATATTAATCTGTTTTTACACAAAAATTTACCTCTCCTTAATTCTCTAAAGAAACTGCTATATGATCCTATTGTAAAATAGTTTAAAAAAATTATGTCTGCCATTTAGTGGTATACAGTGAGCTGTTTTTGTTGATATTTGGAATAAACAAATATGGAACAGCTGTTTTTAGACATCGGACAGTTGGCCTTACATGACTGTCATCCCTGAGACCAGGTAAGCGCACGAGGTGAGCGCTGTGACTGTCCTGGCTCTGCCAGGAAGTCTGTTCCAGACTCGGGGCAGGGAGAGGAATCACCGGCAGTCCAGAGTGGTCTTGCTGGATTGAGAAGGCAGATTGGAGTTCAGGGAGGCAGTTGGAGGTGGAGAGTAGAGTTTTGGAGATGAGGGAATGATGTAGAAAAAGCCAGAAATCTGTAGAAGGCCCCCATGAGTCTTTGAGTACAGAATGCACTTGTATAGGATAGAAATTCCACAAGGTTCAACCAAGAGCCATGAGGGTGCTGAGCGCTTAAAGGTTTCCAGAGCTCACATGGGGCTGAGAGGCATTTGAGTTCCCAATGAGAGTGGAAAGTCTTGATTATGTTGACAACTTGGGACATTCACTCTTTGGAAGGTTCACATTTGAGTAGTAGGGCGACACTATTACACGCGTGGAATTACCCTAACGAAGCTTGAAAACAAGTCTTGAAAAGATAAAATGAAGCTGGAAATAATTTAACAGCCTGCAAAAACCAAGTCCAGTACTCCTTAAAAGAAGACAGTGATATCCAGATAATCAACAAATAGAACATAATGTCCACCATCTACTCAAAAAAATTACTAGACTTGCCAATAAGCAGGAAGAGATAATCCCATAACCGGGAGAAAAATCAGTCAATAGAAATAATTTCAGAAGTGTAAAATAGGTTGGAAGTAAAAGAAATAATTGTTAAAAGAGTTAGAATTATGTTCAAGTATAAATGAAAACATGAACAGTGGAGAATAATAAAAGATATTAAAAAAAGACCCAGCCTGGCCCATGTTGCTCAGTGGTTGAGCATCGATCTATGAACCAGGAGGTCACGGTTCGATTCCCTGTCAGGGCACATGCCTAGGTTGCTGGCTTGAATCCCCAGTGGGGGAGCGTACAGGAGGCAGCCTATCAATGATTCTCTCATCATTGATGTTTCTCTGTCCTTCTCCCTCTCTGAAATCAATAAAAATATTTAAGAAAAGGACCAAATGAAACCTCTGAAAATGAAAAGTACTGTATCTGAAATGACAAATACACAGGATGCGGTTATAAACAGAGTAGACACTGCAGAAAAAAGTATTGAACTTGTGGACATAACAATAGAAACTACGCAAAATGTTGTACAGAGAGTCTGCAGAAAGGTACAGGGCGTCAGTGCCATGCGGGATGGTACCAGATAGCGTGTATGTCATTGGAGTTCCTGAAAGAGAAAAGGAATGGAAAAAAGTGTTTTAAGAGATAATGGCTGTAAATGTTTCAAATCTGATGAACACTGGGAGCTCATAGATTCATAAAAGTTCAGTTAGGATAAACACAAAGAAAATTATCCCTGGAAAATTTCTACTTAAATCTCTTACTCTTTTGGCTTTACCTTGTTGTCAGACTTAAAAATAACTTTATTCTTGTAATGTTTCTTTCACCCGCTTTCATGGCTTTGTTTTATTATATTTAGTTATAGCCTTGATTATGAATCATTTAAGGATTTTTCTAATTATTCCTAAATTAAACGTGTTACTAAGTTAAGTGTTGGTTTATTTTAATTAATCATTTTTACAGGCAGTGTGGAGAACAGTGTCATTCCAAACATAATACCAACAGCGTGTCACTAAAGATTGAAAATTGCTCTCTCATTTGGTTAACTTCTTGACATTTATGTGATTTTTAAAAGTCAGCTTTGTGTAAAGTATATGTGGTTGGACGAGGGTTGTCTCTGTACTTGGCTAGTGTGGAAGCAACCTTGTAGCTTGAGCATAGAGTTTGATTTAGTCATGCATCTAACACGTTTATCCTTTGAGTGTCTAATGTATGTCAGGAGGCGATATTTTGAAAAGGGAACCCTTTAAATATGTGGTAAAAATTGTCTAGGGCAGTGCTTTTTAACCGTTTTTGGGTCAGAGGCTGCATTTGAGAATCTGATGAAAACTATGGACTGTTGACTTCATCTGAAAAATGCATACGATAAACATTTACATTCAGTTTCAGGAGACTCAGAGTCCCCATGATTGAAATATAATGTAGTTTTCATCCTTTAACTATTTTCCCACATTCCCTATATTTTGTACATGTTGCCTTTAATTATATGCTGTGAGGCATTTCTGAAGCTGTACATGGTGTTTATATTTAGAATACACAGGACCTTAGGCCCCACATTTCCAGTAAATTTCACATTGGCCTTATGTATTCAACCACAGTTACCAATTATGTTCTCCTTAGTGAAGAAAACTTTTAAAATAAAAATAGGAGCTTTTAATTTTTTTCTTCCAAAAATTTTTTTAGATCCATTTAAATATTTTCCAGTTTACATAGTTTTTAATTAGAAGAAAGTTGTATTTTTCATGAGACAAACTTTACTTGTGTGTATCTTTAATTACCTCCTTGAAGTTGGGTAGTGTTTTCCTCTTAGATGTTAACATGTCATTTTTAAGGAGTTCATACTTCCTAAAGACATTGTTCTCTCAAGTAAACAGTTCTTTTTCCTCTGTTGGCTCCTGGCAGGTGAATTTGTTTTGCTTGTGTGATTAGTATAGACAGAACAGCTGTTTATGTTGACTTTAAGATGAAATAGTCACGAAATAATTGTGCATGAAAAAGTCAAAGTAGTGTTAGAAAATTGTGTGTATCGTATGCCCGTCTACTGGTGTCGGGTGATGTGGCCAACACTTTGGAGGGAAAGCTAGGTTCACTCACGTCCTGCCCCTCCTTCCCGCCCTCCTGGCTGCCCCTTTCTGTTAGGGTGAGGGGCGCAGAATGATCTGATGGCTGCCCGCCCGCCCTGGGTGCTCGCCTTCACTCTGCCCCCTTGCTCTGACATCATGCCTGGTGCTTATTTTCACTCCTTGCATTGAAAGGACACCCCTCACCTGTGCTCCCTGCATCACTTCATCCGTACCACCAGGTGCACTGGAATGTGGTTCATTCCATCTGATTGTCTCCTTGGAATCTGTTACACAGACCATCTAGTATTGGCTTGCAAAGCTTTGAACATAGTATAGATGTACTCACATCGTTTTTTGGAGGTGTAAGACTAAGAAAGCACACCTGAAAAATGTCTTATTTTTTGTCCATTTGTTTTTAGGTCCTCAACTGTTTGCAGCAAGATTGCAGAGATAACAGAAATAATATGTCTTTCTTCTGTAACATGACTTGTGTATTTAAATTTCCAGAGCGTTTCTCCCTCTCTCTCTTTTTGTTTTAGTTCTTTTTGGGTAGTCTTTTGGTTAACCAAAAGTGAAAAATAATATGAAGTCTTGAAAGTATTTTGTTACATTTATATATGGTTTTATGTTTATTTTCCGTAAGCCTTTATCTGGAAATATTTTATAAATAGCTTGCAATTATTTCTATTTCTAATGGTGAGCAACATTTTTCCATCTGGGGTAATTTTTCTTTATATATTGGTTTTCTATCTTTATGTATTCCTTTTTTCTTCTTAATTCAGGCTGAAAAAGTATATTTTTGTGAGCAAAATAAATGACTTCCACCAGAAGGTCTAAGCCAGGCAGGCCTTATCCACTCATTTACCTACCCCCTTCCAAGACCCAACCTGTCAACTTCTTCTGTAAAACATGCAGCTGATCACAGCATCTTGAGTGCTTCTGTCCAACAGGCCGCCCCCTAGAATGCCTGTGATTTTCTGTTCCCACCAGTTGAACTATATGTTTATCAAGAGTCCCTGGTTTGTCCCTATGTCTGTTTAGATTTATTATACATTTTAGTTGTAATTACATAATTGAGTAAACTAGATATGAAATCTAAAGAGACTTGTCGTTTCTACATAAACTAATTTGGAATGCTTTGGAACATCTAAATATAGGTCACAAAAAGAAAATTGCCATCAAATTAGGGATAGGAGAGAACTGTTAAAGTTTAGGAAGAAAAACCATAAAAATCCTAAAATATTGCTTCACAAAAGTCTTTACATTCTTGTTCTATTTTAAAGAAATAGAGAGTGGACATTGCAGATGCTACTCTTTGGTTATGGTGTATGTGACAAAGTTGACTTGTGACTTGTTTCAGGGACTCACTGAAAGGCAAGGCTCTGTCCATCATCAAAACAGTGATGGATTTAAACCCACTCGTGGGCTTAAAGTGAAAATAAAATGTTTAAGTTTGTATGTGTGTTGGTTATCCTATATAATAAAAGCCTAATGTGCAAATTTTCCCCTCGTCTGGGAGTTTGACCAGGAGTTTGACCAGGGGCGGGGCTGGTGGTGGCAGCAGTGGTGGCAGGCGCGGGTGCTCTCGGCCGGCAGCCGCTAGGTCCCTACCTGTGCATGAATTTCATGCCCTGGGCCTCCAAAGCTTAGTGGCTTAAAATAAAAGTCACTTATTATCTGTTATGATATTGAGTGGTTCTTCTGCTTCTCATGGTTTTGGCTTGGGCTCCGGGGCAGCTGGGAGGTCCAAAATAGTCTCACTGGCCAGCTGGCGAGTAGGTGGTGGCTGTCAGCTGGAGCTCCCCGAGGCTCGGGTTAGCTGGGCTGCCCTTCCTGCGGCCTCTCCACCGGGCTGGTGGGCTTTGAAGACCGTGGCAGCCGCAGGGTGGTTGGACTTCTGACATGGTGGCCTTCCTCAGGCTCAGGCCCAGAACTGGCCAGAGTCACTGTGGCTACATTCCATTGGTTAAAGCGGTCACAGGGTCAACCTAGATTCAAGAGCAGGTGATAGTACAAAGGGTGTGAATACTAGAAAGCCTATTTTTTAAATGAACGCACTACAAATTCTTGTGACATTTGATAAGGAGGCTTCTAATAAATGAAAGTGTTTACAAGCAAGCTTGTAATAGTTTGATTAAAACTTGAATTCTTACTAATAAGCATGGGAATATAGGGGTTTCAGCCCATGTTAATCTGGTTCCAAAATCTTCATTCCTTAGTCCATTTCCCATTGCTATTGTTTTGGTCAGTTGGCACCTAGGGTTGCAGTATCACTTAACATTGTCAGAAATAAATCTTTCACTCTTGTAGCCTTTAAATATTAC